CATGTAAAAATATAATATAAGCTCTGGCGGACTTGGTTCTATGGTAGGGCTTAAAGGGTTAATCTCTGCCAAACGGATTTACTGAGGAACAAATAAAACACTGAAAAAAGCCAAACAATAACATTTTTAAGTTATCTAAGTGACTTATTTTTCATGTTTAACCTGAGTAGCGAAAGACCGTGGTGGGTTTGCAAACAATGTGCCAGCAGTTTGCTGTTCTTGCCAGTGTTGTGCCAAAGTAGGTATCCCCGACAGAATTTGTTTCCCCTGCATCGGAAGCACGCAGGAAGAAATTATGTTTTCATTTTTTGAAAAAGTGAAAAATTAGTATTGTTACATTACCATTCAGTTTGAGGGTTCCAACAAAAAATTCTATATTTATTGTTTTCACGTGGAATCGGACAGGATTATTTGAACAAACCAAGAACATTTTGCCTGATAATTATTTTTATCCCATGTAACTTTACCGTATAAAGAGCTAAAGCCTCCAAAGTTTTAGGAGTAATACATCATAATAAGAAGTGTTTGGGAGCTAAAAATCAAGAATGCGGGACACTGTTTGTCTGTGATTTACACAGGGGGAACAAATTGTGGCAGGATCATCCTGATATTATTTGTATCCCACTGTAACTTTACTGTATAAAGACCTAATATCTATAAAATTTCAGTAGTTATTCATTATAAAAAGTATGTGTGGACTAAAAATCAACAATGTGGGATACGGTTTGTCCGCGATTTGGACAGACCAGCGTGTGCTCCCGACACAGGGGAAACAAATTCTGTCGGTGATACCTACCTTGCAATGACACCGCCATTGTTGGAAACTGGAATTGGCTGGGCCGCGCTATGAATCCTGGGATAGGTTGGGCCACGAAGGTTTTACACCCGACCCATCCTTCAAATCTGGGGAAACGGAGGACGCATTTGGAGGAGTCTTTGAATTTGGACAGCCTTCGTCGTGTCACTGTAACGTAATTGGCCACCGAAGGATGCGGCCCCTGAATTTGGACATAGCTACAATACCGGAGGCTGCTTCTTCTTCTTTGGGGTTTAACGGCAGCTGCCATCTTCTGTTTCAGTCCGTTATTACACTCTTAAAACCTACTACTTATTCCTGCGTCTTTCAGGATCTTTCAAAGCTTCAAACAACGCATTGACTATTTAATTAGCTGTCGATGATTTTGAGAGTTGACGTAATCGCTACTAGTCGACTAATCTTGGCAGCCCTATTGTACATTAACTCATAAATACTAGGGGTGACAAACTTATTTTACATCGCGGGCCACATACAGCTTACTTTGATCTTAAGCGAACCAGACCAGTGAAACTCCCCTTTCTGTCAGTGTAAAAAAGTTACATATTCAACTGTCTGTGAAGGTTCTCATTCATCCAGGTCATTGTAGTCTAAGGAGCTTGGAAAGGAAAGCATCTGGACTTCTTTAAGTTGCTTGAAGATGTTTCACCTCTCATCCGAGAAGCTTCTTCAAGTTTACTTCAGACCCAGCAATGCACTCAGACAGAAACTGGTTCATCCTAAAGACAAAACTCCTAAACA